CTTCCCAGGAGTGGCTGGTGGGTTTGAACCACCAGCCTTCTGGCTAGCAGTCAAGTGCCTTAGGCACTATGCTACCAGAGCTCCTATATATAACAATGTATTTACCATTTCAACAATTTTAATGTATACAATTCAGCGACCTTAATTACATTCACAATGTTGTGCAACCATCAGCACTATCTATTTCCAAAACTTTTTCATCACCTGTAAAAAAATGGCACCAACTGTAAAAATGGTGTGGTGGCACATCATGAGGGGGAGGAGAATCACCACCAGCAGCCCCTAAGGCTGATCCCTATGAGGTGGAAGTCACACATAGCTCCACCCTCCAACCTTTTTACCAATTCTGACACTATCGCTCCCTCCCATGGCACTCTCTAGTTCTCTGCTGGGTTTGATAATTCATTGCAATGGCCACACAAAACTCACAGACCATACTCACAATAATGGGGTTTGTTAGGGAAGTAACAGGTTACAGTTCAGGATCAGGAACAACTAAAGATATAGTTCTTCCAGTCAGGATAGCTTCTTTTCTGTGCCCATAGGCAAGCCTCTCTCAGACCCTCAGCTCCCCAAACCTCTGGGGCCTGCCTGGCCTATGCCCTGTTCAGGTAAGTGCTCTAAAGCGCTTTAGCTCCACCGAGAAGTGTTCAGAGGCATCTTACTCCACCAATAAGCCTTGGCCTGAAGGAACTCAGCTCTCCAGCTCCGCCAAGAAGCACTCCGTTCTACCAGCAAACCTCCTGCCTGAAGGTGCTTGGCTCTGGTGGATCCTCACATCCACAGTTGAGACCTCCCTGGGTGGGCCAATTACTGCAGATTTGGTGGCTCAAACAATACAAATGTAGTATTTTACCAATCTGTAGGTCTGAAGTCTAGCACAGGTCTCACTGGACTGAAGTCACCATGTCAGCAAGGCTGTGTTCTTTTCTGGAGGTGCTAGGGGAGAATGTTTCCTTGCCTTTTCCAGCTTCTAGAGGCTGCTCACATTCCTGGCTTGGTCCCTTCCTATCTTCAAAGCTAACTAACTGCAGCACTCTAATCTTGCTTCTATCACCACCTCTCTTGTTCTGACCGTTTTTCTAGTTTTCTATTTTTAAGGACCTCCCTTTTCTACTTTTAAGGACCACTATGATTCCATTGGGCTCATACAGCTAATTCAAGATAATCTCTATAATTTTAAGGTCAGCTGACTCCAGAAAACAAAAACCAAACTGCTGTTGAGTTGATTCCGACTCATAACGACCTTATAGGACCAACTAGAATTGCCCCCTAGGGCTTCCAAGGCTATAAATCTTTACAGAAGCAGACTGCCACATCTTTCTGTCGTGGAGCAGCTTGTGGGTTCAAAACACTTATTTTTCAGTTAGCAGCCAAGTGTTTTAATCATTACACTGCCTTAGCTCCTTGTAGCTGGTTAGTCGCCTTAATTCTCCCTTACTGTATAAACTAACATATCCCCAGCTTCTGGGGATTAGGACATGGACCTCTTTTGGGAGGGAGGCATTATTCTGTCTACCACAGTACCAACTCAGTAGTTATGTAATGGTGAGTTATGCTAGTATTCCTCTCGAACTGTGCCTGGTTGGCTTTGCAGGTGATCCTGTTGGAAAGAAACTGCAGCATGTAAGTTGCTTCCTTTTGCTGATAAACAAGACTCCCCCTATGCCAAGAGCTTGGGAATCGCCTTCAGCGTCTCTTGCCTGTCAATTCTACCAGGTATAATATATTCATATCTAAGCATGGTGTGGGAGCTCTGGTAGCGTAGTGGCTAAGGCACTTGACTGCTAACCAGAAGGCTGGCGGTTCAAACCCACCAGCCACTCCTCGGAAGGAAGGTTGGGCAATCCTACTTCCATAGTGATACTGCCTCAGCAACCCAAGGAGGGGTCGCTATGAGTCAGGGCTGACTCGACGGCACATAACAACAACAACAAAGCATGGTGTAACTGTTAGAGATTTAAAAGTCCAGTGGAGGGCTTCCTAGTGTGGAACCTGAATCTGGAAGGAGGAAGGGGCTTGGAGGCTTATGTAGGGCCTCTCTTATAAACAACAACAACAAAAAACAAACTCACTGCCATCGAGTTGGATCTGACTCATAGTGACCCCTCCTTGGGTTTCCGAGGAGGTATCTCTATGGAAGTAGATTGCCCAGTCTTCCTTCTGAGGAGTGGCTGGTGAATTTGAACCACCAGCCTTCTGGTTAGCAGTCAAATGCCTTAGGCACTACACCACCAGAGCTCCCTCTTTTCTCATACCCATCTTCTATTTCCTTTTGTTGGGATCTGGGCTTGGGAGATATGATGCTTACTCCTGGGTCTGACAGGTCCTGGAGCAGCAATGCCTTCCAATCTTCTGCCAAATTGTTTGGGAAGAATGCAGTGCTAGAGGAACAGAAATCTCTAGGTGAGTTAGCTGGGAGTATTGGCTGGTGCTGGGACCCTCAGCCTGTAGCCTTGATCCTGGCTAATAATGCTCAGTCCACCCAGGTTGTATCCAAGCCTGAAATTTGAGATCTGCCTAGATTCTGCTCTTCTTCCAGTCAGCCACTGTATTTCCTTTCACAGGGTGGAGCTGTCCCCCTGCCATTGCCATAGTGCAGACCCTCTGTCACTCTTGTATTTGCTGTTCTTAACCCCTAGTTTCTCTTTCTTCTTATCTTCTTCCATTTTACCCTCACACCATCTTCGAGGTGGTCTTTCTGAAACAGAGATGTTGATGTCATCCTCCTTGTTAAACTCCTTCACCTACTTCTCACAGCCTGGGGAAGAAGCTTCTTAGTACAGCCTTCAGTGATGTATTGACTTGGCCCTGCCTGCGCTTCCAGCCTCATCTCACCACACCCACATGGAGCATGGGATTTTATTCCTGACCATGTGAAACTTCCCCGGTATGCCAAGCTCTTTCATGTTTCCATGCCTTAGCATGTGCTGTCCCTTCTGCCCAGGTCCCCTTTAGCCTCACTCCTGCACAACCCCCTTCTTTCCCCTCCCTCAGCTTAATGTTAGCTCTGTAAAGCATTCTTCCCTCTGTCCTAAAGCACTGCACACATACTTCCCTGGCCTAGAAGCTTGCAGTTCCTTATATGCTGGTAACTGTCTCCCCAGAGAGTGAGTTCCTTGAAGGTGGTGACATCCTTGGCCAACACTTAACACTGAGCCACCTCTGTAATTGATAATTAGTTGCTGAGTGATTGAGTACAGTATACCCATTCAGTGTTCAAGAGGGTAGGAATGTTTGTAGGGGTGAGTGTGTATATTTATGTGTATGAGTGTGAATGTTTTAACAATAAGGATAATGCGATTCACTTATGGCATGTTCTAACTCTTCTGAATCCTCAAACCTTATGCCTGCCTTTTTTTTTTTTTTTTTTAATATTTTTTTTTTTTTTTTTTTTTTTCTATATTTTTTTTTTTTTAATATTTTTTTCTTCTCAGAATTCAAAAGAAAGAGGTGTTTTGTTGACAGTCTTCCACTGGATGTTTCTGAGGTATTCTTCACTTTTCTGTGAACAGCTGCTTTTTATCTTCTTTGGTTTCCCTCATATGACTTATTAACCTGCCCGTAATTTATTTGACTTATTTATTTTAAAGATATTTTAGAGATATGAGTGTTTGAATACTCATTAGTTGGTGACTAGAGTGGCCAGCTCATCCTGGGTCTCCTTAAGCCTCATTCACTGGATGTTCCCAAATTTAGCACTGAAAGTCTTATATCCTGGATGGTTAAGAAAAAAACAAAACCACTTGCTGTTGAGTCGATTCCAACTCATGGCAGTCCCATGTGTGTCAGAGTAGCACTGTGCTCTATAAGGTTTTCAATGGCCGGTTATTTTGAAGTAGATCAGAGGCCTTTGTTCTGAGGTACCTCTGAGTAGACTTAAAATGCCGTCCTTTTGGTGAGCAGCTGAGTTTGTTAACTGTTTGCACCACCCAGAGACTCCCCTGGATGGTTACTCCCTCTACTTATCCCAGGCAAGCCTGGGTGCTTGGTTACTCTACTTATCACTTTGAATTGAGGGGCTGCCAAATATTTCTTGAAAAGTTCCTGGTCTCCATGCTTCCTCCCTAACCAGTTACACTCAATCCTCTTTGGCCAAGTTGTACTTCATTGTTTTTATATCACTTACTGTAACATCATTATCAGGCTGTTATCCATTATGTTCTAGGAAATAGGTTAGATGCTTCACTAGTGGGTGGGTAGTTGTGTAGTTGAGTGGGGCCTTGGTATTCTTTCTGCACCTCTCTGCTCACCTCATTCCTAAGGGAACTCCCAAAATTTTGGTCTTGGTCTCTCTGTTTCACAGGGGTCAGCAGAAATCTTAGGAGGGAGTTGTGTGCCAGCTGGAAAGCAGAAGATTAAATGTTCCCTTTAATTTTGGGGAAGGATCTTGCCCCCCTTCCCCTGGGACATTGGCCCTGCTCTCATGAGGATAAGATGGACCAAGAAGCCATATCATTCCATTTCTTAGCTTCTGGCCATTCTGCAAGGGGAGGAGCAAAGGATTTTCTGGATATATATCCTTCACCAGAAATCTTCTCCAGAGACTAGGGAGAAAAGGAGAAGGTGTCGCTCAGGCATGGCCATATTTACTTTAATTTACTGATTTTATGTTGAATCACTCCAGGTATATTGCAAGGCCGGACCAGAGCATCAGCAGCCCCTGCCGTGACACAGACTCTAGCTGACTTCTCAGTCACCCACCCATTTCTCACTGGGAGCCTGGGCCAGCCCAAAGAAAAGCATTGAGAAATGGGGAAAGGAAGTAGGGAGGTGGCCATCAGTGTAGTCACAGAATGAGCTACACACACTGTCCTCCCCAGACAAGGGGCAGAGGGTGATCTGGGCCTGTATAGCCTAGCAGATCCCTGCTGGTACTTCTTAAAAGAAGAGGAGGAAAGGGAGGAAATAGTTACATAGAGACAGTGCTGGGGAGAAAGCATATTTATTGGCTGTGGTGGAGACAGAAAGGTCTGAGTGGCCTGCCCACCACTGTAATTCTACAGGTCCCAAACCCATAATGCATTCTCTCTCTCTGGAAATGGGATTAAAAATAACAGACATTTTTATTTTCATCTACATTCCCAGATTGTATCTTTCCCCTGAACTCTAAACTTGTATATTCAATTGTCTAGTGGTTATCTCTTCTTGACTAATAGGCATTGTAAGTTTAGCATGTCCTGAACTCAGCTCCTGATACTGAAGACTGTTCATCCCACAGCCTTCCCCATCTTGATAAATGGCAGCACCATCCTTCTCAGGCCTCAAACCTGATAAATATTTTTTCTTCATAATTCACAGTTCTCTCACACTTCACATCAAGTCTGTCAGCAGGTCATTTTGGTTTAGCTTTAATGTGTACCTAGCATCGTAGCATAGTGCCTAAGGCACTTGACTGCTAACCAGAAGGCTGGCGGTTCAAACCCACCAGCCAGCCACTCCTCAGAAGTAAGATGGGGCAATCTACTTCTGTAGTGATACTACCTCGGAAACCCAAGGAGGGATCACTATGAGTTGGGGCGGACTCGACGGCACATAACAACAACAACAACAGCATTGAACAAAGTTCTGTGTGAAATGGGAGGAAGATAATGTAATATCTCTTTAAACT